TTCTCTGTGGGAGAGCTGCATGGCCACCTAATGAAGGTGGAGGGAACCCGCCTTCTATCTCTGTTACACTCTGTGAGGGGAGTTCCACAAGTATGCTACTTGGGCTCCCATATTTTGTGGAATTTGGTGAAAATATCTCTTTTGTGTTTTGCTTACAGTCCCTCTGCTCTCCACAGGACTCAGCCATGAATGCAGATGGGGCTAGAATAGTAGGCAAAATTAGCCAAAGACAGTTTCATACTCAGAATCACCTCTCCTTCTGTGACAAGGAGATATAAGGCGAAAGAAGACTGCAGGGTTTGAGGTAAGAACCCTCTTCATAAAACAAGAATCATACTCCCTGACTCTTCACCTCTTTACATTATTATTTTTTTAGATTTTATTTATTTGACAGAGAGAGAAAGAACACACAAGCAGGTGGAGGGGCAGAGGGAGAGGGAGAAGCAGGCTTCCAGGGTCCTGCGATCACAACCTGAGCCGAAGGCAGACGCCTAACCGACTGAGCCACCCAGGAGCCCCTCTTTACACTATTATTATGCTAGGGAGAACAAAGCCAAAAATAACAGATGGCGGCTCAGGAGAGGCTTGAAGCACTATACAGTAAAAAATATTATTTTTCACTGATAATGCATCCACTGGTTTGCCTTTATCATCTGTAATCTTCATAACATCCCTGTTCCAAGTAAGAGATGTTTAATATGGACGATAGAAAGCCTGACCAAACCGGGCTAAAAGCAAACACTGGAATGTCTGCTGATGTAATAAAATGCCGGAGAGAGACAGGTTTAGTTTCAGGTATGACCTGATCCAGGGATCACTTGATAGGAAAAGGGGCTGGTTTCTGTTTCTCAGCTCTGCTTGCTCAGTGTTGAGTCTTCTCCGGCAGGCCTTGCCCTCGTGATTACAAGATTGTTCCCAGCAGCAACTCATGAGATTTTCCTTCCAGGTGCAAATCCGTTAGAAATGAGCAAGTCAGCTTCCCCAAGACTTCAAAACAAGACCCAGCAACTGAGTTTCTGTGCCCACGGCTTGTCCATAGATTAGACAGCATAGCCAGGAGGAAGGAGAATGCTGAGTGGCTCAGCTCGGGCCCCGTGCTCCAAGGGCATCAACCTCACCAGAAGTACTCAGATGGAAGTGGAGCAGGACCAGCTCGCCTAGCAAAATCAGGGCATTGCTGCCAAAGGAAGATAGTTAATTGTGGGCAGCAAAAATAGCAGAGTCCAGGACAAAACTTGTGAGGTTGAAAATACTATTCTCACCGTACAGATGGAGAAATCAAAGGTCCCAGCTGTTAGGTGATTTGCACAAAAATCATAGAACTGGAAAGTGGCATGGATTGGACTTGACCTGAATACTGAGTGGGCTAAGATTAAAAAAGGATGAGGGGGTGTTTCCCAGGCAGAGTGGGGCAAGGAGGTGGCTCTGGGCAGAGGTCTGTGAATACACAGTTCCAAGGATGTTGGGAGGGCAAGAAGTTTTCAGGGGATTTCAAGTTGTTTGCAACGTTGTCAGTGCAGCAAAGAAAAGAGCTCAGTCTGGTGTCAGAGGGATCAGGACTCTGACAGCAAATAACGATTTGCCAGGGGGTGACCGTGGGCAAGGACGAAACCGCTCCGCTCACATCATCGTCTGTACTACAGGCGTAATATGCTTCATGGAGTTGCTGGGAGGACTAAGCAAGCTCACATAATAAAGGAACTAGGACAGCACCTAGCACAGAAAAACTGAACAAATGGTAGATAATACTGTGCTGAGAAGCTGCAGAAGGTGACGCACGGGAAAGATGGTAGGAAAATAAACTCAAAAAATAACAATAGGTCAGATCATGCTAGGATAAGGATTTTAGATTTGATCCTCCAGAAGATGGGGAATAATGGAAGGACTTTGACCAGAGGGGTGGCCTGATTAGTTTTTCATTTTGGAAGGATCACTCTGGTAGCGATATGTAATTACAGCGGTAGGGGGGTGGAGTGGGGGTCTAGTAAAGAGACCATCAGAATTGTTAGATTGACCCGTGGTTGCCAAAATCTAGCTCAGTGTCGAAATGACTAGGATTTTTGTTTGTTTTGGTACAGATTTCGGGACTCCTCAGCAGTGGGGAAACACCTGGGCTGAGCGATCAGCTAGTTTCCACCCAGCCCTATTGGTCCCTTAAGGGAACTGATGGCCTCCTTGCCAAGAATCGGCATTGCCTAAAGGAAAACTAGGGTTGTAGCAGGAATGTGAATATTAAGGAATAGTCAATTCTCTGGTTTTCTTAACGCCAAGATTCTTGAGGCCCCTTGGGTGCAGAGTGGGGCAATCAGATAAAGATTGGGGGTGCCAGAACAGGTGAAGAGCACGGGACGGAGCACGACTTTTCAGGACGTCAGTGGGTCTGACCAGAGCTGAGCTCCAGGAAAGATGCAGATTCAGGTTCAGGAGATGGCCAGCCCAGAACCTCTTGGGAGCTGATCCAACCCTACAGTCTCCCAGTCCCCATTCAGTCCCCATCTGATTGAGCACAAGCTGCCTGTGTGAAAAGAACCACGGCCTGGTTCTTCCTGCCTACTTTTCGCCACCATCCAGTACGGGCTTCCCATCCACAACTATACCCCAGTGGCTCTATGACTCCAGACTTTGCTGACTTTGAACTGCTTTATGTGGGTAATAGATAACAGTCATTTCAACGGGCCAAACACTCGTCGGCCACTGCATTTCCATCTATGGATGAGCCATAATTCACCCAACCAACCATTTCCCCCAGCCTCAGATGTTTACATTCTTTCCAAATTTCTACTAGTAAATTTACCATGATGAAAATTTGCACATAAAACTTTTACTGCCATCACTTGCAACTCTAAAACATCTAATACTCTTCGATGAAACCTGCTAATGGTTATTTTCTCAAGTTCAAGTTCAAATCTCAAACACTACTTTCTTCTCAAAGGACGCAATTGGAGATCATTTGATAAAGTTCAAAACAGTTAACCATTGAGCAACGCAAGGGTTAGGGGCACAGTGAAGAATCCACATGTAACTTCTGACTCCCCCAAAACTTAACTAATAGCCTACTGTTGACCGGCAACTTTACCCATAACATAAAGTTAATTAACACACATTTTGTACATTATATGCATTATATATTGTATTCTTACAATAAAGCTAGAGGAAAGAAAATGTTAGGAAAATGGTAAAAAAAAATTATTTACAGTACTGTATTTATCAAATAAGTCCACATATAAGTGGACCTGAGGGGCTCAAACTCCTATGGTTCAAGGGTCAACCGTACCTGTTAAGGAGTTTTTGAAAACCTCTTAGCGAGCAAAAAATAAAAGGTAATTTCCTTAACCTGATAAAGATACCTACCAGAAATCTCAGCAAACATCTTACTTAATGGTTCCCTTAAAAGTCAGGTATGACATATGAATGCCTGTTATCACTGCTTCTATCAATACTGGAGGTCCTAGAAGAAAAGATAAAAGAAAAAAAAAAGTGCTGCCTCATCCAAGGGTGTAGAGAAACAGGCATATTCTCATTCACGGCTTGTATGAGAAGTTCGACCTTTAAGAGTGGCAATTTGACAAAATATAGGACTTAGAGATGTTCATACTTTCTGACCCAGCACCACCACCACGGTGAACACACCTGGAGGAAACACTTAAGGCTGTACACAAAGATGTTGAGTATTAAGGTGCGCTCTCTCAAGAACTACCTTGAACAGGAACCGCCTGTCTAACAACAAGGTACTGGTTATGTGAATTCTGGCATGACCACGTGATGGCCTACTAGTCACTGAAAATACTGCTGTATAAGAGCATTTACTGGAAAGACAGCTTTAATCTACCTTTTTGTGTGTGTCTACACACACGCACACAAACAAGAACATACTGGAAAAGCCCGTATCAGAATACTGATGATTCCTTATGCTTTGTTTTGCAAATTTTCTTAAAATACATGCTACTTTTTTAATTAGAAAAAATACTGCATTTTAAATACTGCCTCAAATGATTGCTGTAGGCAGCAAAGAAAGTGGCTCAGAAAGAGTAAAGGGAGACTTTAGGAGGGGGGCAGGCTGCAGCTATAAACATGATCACAACTCTCCACTCATCTAGAATCCATAAGACCAGGAAGCTAAATTGCATTCTTATTGTTCTATTTTATCAAAACAAAGGAAAATGACAAATCTAAAGGTTAATTTTAAACACACACGTACATTCACACACACATTCTTAAACAAACTCTCCGTTTACTCATACTCGGGAACCCGCTATCCTGCCAAGTTCTCCAAAGGTCACAGGCCACCTTGCAACCCAGTGATTAGAATGGAGGAAGATGGAGCTTACTGGGCGGTTTCCCTGGATCACGTGACCGGGGCAGGGGGAGCTGAAGAGGTCAACAGTGCCATGTCAATGGCACAACAGTATTCTACGCGTGAGCTCGGAGATAAAAACAGCGCAAAAGCTACAACAATGAGAATCTTTATGCACATATCTCTGTAATCGGTACAATCATTCAGAACAACAGAGACCCAAAAAAGGAATACAATGTTCAGTGACGGCCCAGGGGTCAACATTACAAACTAGGTTTAAATCATCTGGAGGTTTTTGTGAGAGGACTGGGGTGCAGAAGCATCGGAAGGAGTCGACTCCCCGCACAAGTGCTGACAGGGGACAGACCTAGCTAGAAACAAAGAAATTGCTACTTGGTAAGTACTTCTGGTGCTTGCATACAGTGTCCAATACACACAGACGATAACAAGTCCATACTGGTCTTTGCCCATGCGGTGTGGTAGAGGCTACTGCACGTCTTCATTTTCTAAAGTAGGCAAGGCTCCAAAATTGACCGATTCACATCGTGAGTACACGGTACAATGCATGCACGTTATTGGTACAGTGCTTCGACAGAAACCCATCGGTTTTTAAAATCCTGACAAGGTCATTTTTACCTCAAAGGATTATTACACTTTCATTTCTTCGTTCTTTCATTTGGGATCGGTACTTATTCCAAAGCATGTGCCAACTCATCCGTCCCTTTCTCAGAAAGACCAACATGGGGAGATGGGCAGGGCAGGCGCTGCTAAGTCTAAGGTGCTTGGTAGATAGCAACAGCGCCATCCTAAGGGTGGTGGCAAGTGGCCTCCACCCCATGCCCCACCTCCCTGAACCCAGATCCTCAGGGAGCTGGAAGCAGCCTCAAGAGAAGAAAGAACAATTCTCTATTCGAGTCAGACATCCCTCAAAGGAATGAGTCTATTCTGACTCATGTGGGTCGGGGGAGGAGAAAAGAATCTAAGGTGGAGTCATTCTTATCTGTAAAGTTTTAGCAGATGGAAGAAAATCATGTCATTTGCTTAATTTTGGAAAATGCAGTGGGTCCCATCCCCTGGGGGTGGAATGCAAAGTAAGCCCAACATTCCACCTACACTCTTCCCAAGACAGAGGTGGTGGGCATCGCTGCTTTTTAAGAAGCTGCGTGCTCACTTCAGATGGCACAGAATTCAAGACCCAAACCTCAATGACTTATTAGTCATACTTTCCACCTTCAGCTCCTTCGGGGGTAAAAATAGCACAGAAAGGATAAAATGGCTTTTCTCACTGTATGTCATTCTTGTGTTTTCTGTTCAAAAGAGCCCACACAACCACATTCTCTATTATAAAAATTAATACCTCTCATAGTAAAAGCCTTCTCTAAAATTATAGCTTTGGTTTCAGAACTAGCAACCCAATTAGCTCAAATTAACATCGACTGCATCAACAATATGCCAGGAAGTGCGGCCAAGGTCTTTCAGAGATGAGGATTAAGATGCGGAGTCTATTCTTCTAATGACAGTAAGAGATGGGGGCTGAGGAGTGAGCCTTTGTTCAGACAAATGACAGCTGTATGAAGCATTTTTAAAATGAGATACCTTTTTGGGTAAAAAGGTTAGAGCTGGTTTTGTGAAATGCCATCACAGGACCCTAACGTCTGGAGAAAGGTCCTCTGAATCAGGAGGGAGCATAGTGAATGGCTTCCCGGTCCTGGTGTTTAGAACCCATGTAGCCAATGCATCTGTGTACAAAGAGCATTAAGTCCACCTATGGTGCTGGAGGAGACGTGACTGAGTCACACTGAATACCAGGAGTATTTACCTTGAGTGTCTGAGTGCTACTTCACCCCTGTTGTGGCTCAGAGTTCCCATCTGCATAGTGGAAATGACAGGTGCTCTCTGACCCGCTGGGACCGGGGGAGAGGTGGGTAAGAGAGAGCTAGAAAGCACTAGTGCCTTCTCCAAAGAAAGGCAGTGTTCAAGTAACAAAGTACTCAACAAAGTACTCCAATCAAAAAAGCACAAAATTCAAGTAACAGAATTGCAGGTGCTATGTTCTGGCTTTTGAGCAGCAGAGGCCTCGCGGCATCTGCCAAGAAGAGCTGGTAGGTAAATGAGCTACGTGGCAGAAGATGCAGGACAAGCTCCGTATGGAGCCCATCGAGTCCTCCCCACCACTGAGGACTGTAACTCTTCGTCAGAGGAGAAAATGAACCTTGGGAAAAGCTTCGCGGAATCAGCAAGCTGTTCAGGGCGATTGTTTAATGCATATCCCATGTGTGTTCTCTGCATAAGATCTTCAAGTTGGTGGACCAACCTAAATTTCAACAGATAGAGGTTTTCTTCATTTTGCAGGTAGAAAGAGAAAAAAAGGCTATCTACATTTTTCTCCTGCACTTTAGCATAAGAATAAAAAAACAATCTTGAGCCTGGCCGAAAGAAACTACTGAAGAAAAACTCACACACACAAACATTCCCTCAGTGGGGCAGGAAGAGGGAAATTGGGAAGTTTTTTGCAACTAAGAAACTTACTTCCTTTTTACAGTTTCTGTTCTAGCAAGTTAGTGTGTGCATGCTTGAGGATCAGTAACACCCAGAGAACCAGAGAAGGTCTGGGGGGAGTGCGTTCACAGGGACCCTGAAGGTCCTCAGAACAGGAAGGAAGAGGGGGTTAACAGTCTAGATCCACAGTCTTGTCTAAACAATTCACAATGAAAAATTGGGAAAACTTCACACTTTAAAACTACAATATTTATTCTGCCACAAGAATTCACTGGATCCGTTATCGGTGGGTGGGGGAAAACATACCCATTCTAGCTCCCATTATAAAACTTCCAGTTCCCATTTTCACGGACTGGTGTTCATCTCACTATCTATTCGTTTTCACTGGACAGTCAAAACTCTTTTGGAGCCATTCAGCTGGACCCCTTAGACGGCCATGAGAAGGTGAATCTAGATTCAGTTTCTGAGGGCCATCATCGTTTCTTAGTGCTACTGTTTCCACCACCCGATTTGCTGAAGCTCCTGCTCATGTGAGGAAAGTGCACGGTTGGGGTTCTTTCTGTAGGACCATACAGTCCCAAATTCCTGGCGGTGGCTGACTTCCGCAGTGGTTTGACGCTGGGGAAAGGGCTAAAGATGGGCGCTTTCAGGTGGCTGCCCTGGGAAGGTTTGCTGGGGGCTCTGGTTTCACCAGGGGCATCAGGCAGCTCTGGGAAGTGCTGCGGGCAGGGTGGGTGTGCCTTGGGCTCAGGGTCAGCAGCAGCATCCCTCCGGTTCAGTTCCAAGGCTTCTAACTTCACCTGGACCGCAGACACATCAGCATCGGCATCCCCGAACACGGGCTCTGGAGACTGCCCTTCGATCGTCCTCCCAGTGCAGCCTTCGGAGCAACGACCCTCTCTCCCAGCTGCTGCCGCACACCTGGAGGAAGCCTCCGCTGCCCCCAGGCTGTTAGCCCTGCAGCCCTCATTCTGCTCCTCTATCAGCCCCACGGTGTCCCCACAGCCCAGCTGACTCTTGGTCCTCGTCATGTTCTTTTTGTGGACACGGATGTGCGTTCGCCATGGGGAATTGAGCTTCGTCTTCAGGTCTTCATAGGGGACAGGAGACATCTTGCCTCCTGTGTGACCAGGGACGTGGATGACAGCATTCTTGGCAGGTCTGTTTGACATTTTCATCTTCTTTCCTAAAAGAAGGTGGTTGATAACTGGAGAGTTGTTTACCTGAGATGGGAGAATGCTGGTCACTGGCCCTTTGTCTGAAAGAAATGGTGAAAGGCTGGATGAAACGGACCACAGAGAAACCATCCGTTGTGGCACAGGAATCACATAGAGCTTGTCCCCCAATCCTGGCCGTGTATTTCCCAGGTTTTGGCAGAGCCATGTGACTGAAGGTAACAAAAACTGAACTCAATCCTAGAGCCCGGGGTGCCTATTCCCTCCTCTTCAGAGAGGAGGAGACACGAGGCTGAGGATACAAAAGAAGCAGACTCTGGCCCCTCGTTACTAATTCAAGTGCAGATGCCCTACTGTTTCTTCCCAACAGTTTCTGTCTCTGAGAAACAACCTCAGAGGTCTTATATCTAGAAAATCTTAGAAGACTTTTTTAAAAATAAGTCAAACACTATGACCATATGGATTATCAGCTGTTAGCTTCTGAGAGGTAGGAAAAGAACACACTGCGTATGATGAAGTGAGAGACAGCAGGATGAGAGAAGTGATAAGAAGGTCGTAAAAACGCAGTGAAGTCACTGCTCCCCGATGCCTGGTCTTAAGTACGAAAATCCATTCCTGTGTCCTCAATGGACTTTGAAAGGAAACTGAAAACTGGAAAGCACCAAAAGCTGTGTGCTCCTGGAGGGCACCGTTGATAGTACCATTATCCTCCTCCTCCCATGGCTACGACCAAGCCCCTATTTCAGATGGTGCGCAAACACACACGGCCCCAGGGAGAAGGCCCCACCATCTTCATGTGAACAACCTTCTTCCTGACGTCCATGTCATCAGCTGAACTCACTTCTACACTTCTTGACTATTGTCATCTACCTCTGGTCACACTCCAGTCCTTCCTGAAGATGCTGACAACTGTCTCCTCTTCACCTCATATACTATTATGCCCCTCAGTTACTTTACTGTTTCTCTGACTGATCCATCTTCATGCTTCTTCTACCATCCTAAACCTCATCACTCAGATCTACGTTCCCTGAAAAATATTGTAACTCTCCTAACCTTCTCTTTGACTCTTTTAGCTCTCAGGCTCTCAATATAGCCATCTATGGTACTGCACCAAAGAGACTTTGGTTCTTCAATCTTTCAAACTTCCCATAACCCCTCGTCTGTCTCTGAGTCACTTACACCCCAACCAGGCTAGACGCATGGCTGATCACTGGGGCTGCTGCCTCACTGATAACCACACATTCTCAACATCCCCATGCCTTTATACTTGGCAAAATCCCAAACCTGGACCCACAAATCACATTATCTTTTCCAAAAAGGGGGTGGGGGAGAATCACACAGACATGTGGACTGAAGCCCTTCAGATTCATTAACTTCCTATTTTGTTGGGTCCTCAAAGGCACAGAACAATCCTGTTCTTTCCTTCTTCCATTCCATTCCATGACCCATCCAAATCTTCCTTACTTCTGCTCTCCAACTTACTCCCAAGTAAGTCCTCCAACTTACTCCCAAGCAAAGGACATTTCCTCCAATTGCTCCACAAAAACAAAAGCTATCAGATCCAAAAGGCCCTAACTTCCTGTCCTCCCTAACCTGGGAAGTTGGTACCTCAACCACTATCCTACCATCTTCCTTTACATCTCAGAAGCTGAGGTCAGGTGCAAACTTTTCCACCTATGCTGCTAATCCCACCTTATACCATCGCCTCTAAAAGCTTGCTACTCAAACTGGGATCCCCATCCAGCAGCACAGGCATCTCCTAGGAGCTTGTTGGAAATGCATCTCAGCCCTACCCCAAACCTGCTGAAACAGATTCTTCATTTTAACAGATCCCCAAGTGATTTATATGCACACTGAGGTTTCAGAAGCAATGCTCTAGAACTTTGCCTTCAAGCAACAATCTCTCCCTAAAAAAAAAATACATAAAGAGTCAGTGAACTTTTCCTGTAAAGGACCTGACTGTAAATGTCTTAGACATTGTAGTGCAAAAGCAGTGATAGACAATATGTAAATAAATGGGCATGCCTGTGTTCCAATAAAACTTTATTTATAAAAAACAGGCAGCTAGCAGGATTTGGCCTGGGGAGCATAGTTTACTGACCCCTGACTAGAGTATAAGGCACTGGGCTGACTTAATACCCACTGGCAATACCCACTGCTCACCATCCCACCCAAAGATGTGTATGGCGCAGTTGAAAAGGGACTATGCAAAGAATCAGAACACAGGGGTCTAGCCCTGGCCTGACCACCCACCATAGCTACGTAACCCTGCTAAGCCTTCCTGAGTCACCATTTCCTCATCTTTTAAAAGGATGTAAGAATATCCATCCTTACGTTCCTCACAGATTTGCTTTAAGGACAAATGAGGATACGTATGAGCCAATCCTTTGAAACCACTTTCTTTCTTTCTTAAGGATTCAGGTTGAAGTAAGAATCTTCAGCAAGTTGCCCACTCCTCCCTTACAAGTGGAAGGTAAGTTCAGTTTTTGTGCAAGATCAGTCACATGCTCACGAGGCTCTTAAAAACATGTCAACTCATATTTTGATTCATACTGGACAGGCATCATAATCATTAGGATTTCACTTAGAACAAGACAAACCACTTCCCAAATCAGCATGTATCAAATAATAAAGCACTGTTCACTGGGATTTTTGGAATTTAAAAAGAAAAAGAAAAAGGTAGTTTGACAGTCCTTGGAAAAGAGCACTTCCAACTGCATTCCAATTATGTTCTTCTCAGCAGACCCCCAAGACACTGCTAACCCATCAGTGAGGCACAGGAATGTTTTTTCCCTTTTTCTCTGACCACAACTATCTGTTATATGACTACCTAAATGACTGGTGGATAGCTCAATTTACTAGCGCACAGATGAATACGTCCTGGAGACAACAGCTCCAATATGTCTCAAGTCCAAGGACTGCATGGCTTTTGCAACATTTTAATCATCCGTCAACCCCTCTCCACAAGCACACATAGTAAAGATTTGTTTAATACCATCAATTGTCTGGCTCTTGGTACCTAAAAGGAACCCATGGTCTTTTTCTTCTGCAGAGCCTGATAAAAAAAAAAAAATGAGATGCTAAATGTGGGATCAGCTCAAGCCAGCTGTGTTTGTGGATGCTGAGCTAGAAGAGAGTTGCAATTTGGAGGCTATCCTGGGAATACTTGTTCTTTCTTTCACAACTGGACACAGAGGTGAAATCGATTCAAACAAAGAATCATATTACCTGCCCTGATATACACCTGATGCACCTGCTGCTGCTGCTTCTTCTTAATCCGAGAATACTGCCGCTTCAGCGCGTTGATATCTGTGGTCATGCGTTCCATCATCATACTGTTGAAAGCTGCATGGTATTCACTTCGACAGGAATTGATTGCTCCTGGACTCAGCTCCGCGATGTTATTAGACCGCAGGCTCTGCTCTTCATTCGGTTCTGCGCTCCAGGGGAGAGAGATAAGAACACGGTGTCATGGAGGTTTAGAAAGGGACTAACTGAGGGCGCCTGGGTGGCTCAGTTGGGTAAGCGACTGCCTTCGGCTCAGGTCAGGATCCTGGAGTCCCGGGATCAAGTCCTGCATCGGGCTCCCTGCTCAGCGGGGAGTCTGCTTCTCCCTCTGACCCTCTTCCCTCTCGTGCTCTCTCTCTCTCATTCTCTCTCTCAAATAAATAAATAAAATCTTTAAAGAAAAAAGAAAGGGACTGAGTCCCGATGACACTATGCCCCGGGGTAGTATCTTAATTTCCAGGGAATTCAAACCCAAAAAATAAAAAATAAACGTTCACTACAGTTTGTCTGGTATGTGTTTTTCTTTGACCCTGAAAAGATTTCTGCATTTTCTTATTGGCCTAACTGTGGATCTGAAATGAGCTGTGTGGGTTCACTGTTGGATTTTTTATTACCACTTTGGTCATTATGTAGACCTAAGATCAACTGTTTCCACATAAAAGTCACTGCCGTTTTCTAAAATTCCTTAGGAAGACAGAACCCCAGGTGTCTAAAGTCCATTTAGAGATTTGCACATAACTGTGATATACAGACTGATTATAGAGTTTAGTCAGTCATTAGAAGTGAGTTTTTCTTAAGCTAAAAATAGCAACACATTCTATAAAATCATCAAAACTTCAGATCACTGCATCTCTAGCAATGAATTTTTTTTTTCTTTTAACAAACATTTCCTGCTGTCTACTATATGTGTTTTGTCCGATGTGGTTTCTACTCCGGCAGCACCTACAACTAGTAGATTCGGCCCTTAAGTAAAATTGAGATTACATCTAAGAAGCAGAAATAGGCACTGTGTGAGAGTGTATACACATACTCCACAGGATTTTCTAGCACAATACGGAAAAGTGGCCTGGGAACCAGCTTTTAAAAAGTAATTAATGGGGGATTTCAACTATGCTAACATCTACTAAAAGTGTTATTCAGATAAAGCCTAAACATCAGATAAATTTCCTTCCTTTTTCACTGAAAACACTTTTTTAAGGAGAAAAAAATTAAAGGGAACCAGTTAACCTGAACTTACTTAAAACTGACAAGAAAGGCTCAGGATAAAACTTAGGAGAAAGTCATCCTATCATCCTGAAGCACATAACAGCTACACAAAAAGAAAAACAGAAGGGAAAAAAAAAAGGGGGGGGGGGACACATACCCAGACTACAGAAATGCAGATGCAAAAATTTTAGAGTTAAAATACATATTGATTTCGTGGCTAAACACCAAAAGCTGAAATTCAGGTCACGAAAAGAATGGGTAGAGGGCATGACAAAATCAATAGGACTCTTGCCAAGTTTAGGTTTTTTAAAAGCCATTCAGAGAGATGAGAGGAGAGTACATAGCAAGGACATACACACCAAAGCACGTGAACCAAAACTACACAGCAGGCTAAAACTCAAAACAAGCAAGGGCCTGAAGAACAGACTACCACAAAACTACCACAAGCAGAAGAAAACAGCCAAACAAACAAAAATAAACCTTCTACATACGAAGAACAAAAATGAGAAAATAGCCCCACAAATCTGGGAAGGTAGGAGGAAGCTGGCAGAAAGCAAAGAGAAGGCAGAGGGACCGGATAGCTCCCGTCTCGGTCCTCTTTCACAAGGAGAACGGTCTTCAAACTAGAAGAGGTAGAACAAATGTCCTAAGGGAGGAACCGCCCCCCAAGAGAGGAAAGAACACAGTGGGAGGACCATGAACTGCTTCCAAAGAGTTCTTCCATCGATGGTGTCCAGACCACAGGAAGTCCATTCTCCACAAGAAAAAAAAAATGTACATAGCATCCAATTCAAAGAGGGACACTACCAAACTGCAGGGCATTAAAAGGTGAATATACAGAATATTAAAAGTTCTGGAAGTCATATCTTTTGAAAAACTCTGAACTTGGGCCATAGGGAAGGATTTGTGGGATGTATGGCTGTTCTCAAAGATTTGATGAGACGTCCAATAGAAGAGGGAGTAGACTTGTTCTGTTTTGTTCGAAAGAACTATTAAAAGAACTGGTACCTGGAGCTTATCTCTTCACGACTAGATACGATGGGCTAAGCAGAGGGATCCAGCAAAATGTCTTCTATAAAAGATAATGAGTTTCTAAGCACTCAAATTCAAGTAGAGGCTATCCTAATGTTTCAGAGGACATTTCTATAGTGGAAAAGAAGCCAATCTATATCAATTAAACAGCATGTGGTAATAAGCATATATTATATGCCAGGTTCTGTGCTAAGGAATAAAGCAAACAAAGTGAAATCAGATAAAGTGGGCGGCAAAACATATCAGAAAGAAAAAGATAGGTATGATGTAGCCAACACCAAACAGAGAGATCCTACTAAATGATAAAGTAGGGGCGCCTGGGTGGCTCAGACAGTTAAGGGACCAACTCTGGGCTTCGGCTCAGTGGGTGACCTCAGGGTAACAAGATCGAGCCCTGCCTCAGGCTCCGTGCTCAGCAGGGAGTCGGCTTGAGGATTTTCTCTCCTTCTGCCCCTCCCCCATGTGCGTGGGGCATGCGCACACATGCGCGCTCTCTCAAAAATAAATAAATCTTCTAGAAGATAATGTAAGACAGAAGACACTTTAATAAAGACCTTTAGTACTGGTAATCAGACCAGGAAACAGCAGGCATTTATCAGACACAATAACACCTTTGCTACAATGAACCAGTACATTAGGATCACCGACACAGAAAGCCGCCTCTTTACCTTTAATTTGCTTTTGGTACTTCTGCAGTTCAGGTGCCAGGAGCCCACTGAAAGGCCCAAGACACCCCACTGCATTAGCGATAGCATCTTCATCGTCTGGGTCGTTCTCCTCATCACTGTCTCTGACCTTACCATGTCGTCTTGGAAAACATAAAAGAAGAAAAAAAAAGTATGCAAAGAAAATAGTGGTGTTTTTTAAAAATAAATGATAGTCATGTGGTTTAAATGACATATACATAACTTTTATATATAAGTATACATATAACTTACATATAAAAAGTCTCCCTCCCCTCCCTGTCCAACTTCGGCCCCTGCCACCTAATTCCCAAAGGTGACCCCTGTTACTAATTTCTGATGTATTTTTCAGTTTCATTTTGCATAAGTAAGCAAATACAACTATACCATCTTATTTTTCTCCTCTTTTCGAATAAACATTAGCATACTACATACACTCTTTTGCACCTCACATCTATTTACCTAAAAATCTCTCCATATTCACATACACACAGCTTCCTCATCTTGTTTTTATCAGTGCACTATATTGTACGCATGTAGCCCACGTTATGGAACCAGGCCACTAACAATGCACACCAGAGTGGTTTCCACTCCCATACTATCATAAGCAATGCTGCCATAAATAACCTTATACATACTGTGTTTTGCAGGTGCACAAATACATTTGTGGGATAAGTCATAAAGGCAGAATTGCCGGGTCAAGGGACATATGTACTAGTAATCTGGGGAAACACTGCCAAACTGCCTGCCACAAATCTCGTAATAACCTCCAACCAGCAATGTGAAAGAGTGTTTCCCTATAGCCTCGTCAACAGAGTGCACATCAACCTTTTCAATTTTTATCAATCTGACAGATAAAACACAGAGTCTCAATCTAGTTTTAAGCTACATTTCTCAATACAAGTGATGTTGCCTCTTATGTAAACTACCTATTCCCATTCTCTCATCATTTTTCAATGGGGTGGTCATTTTCTTATTGATATCTAGGAACTTTATATATGAGAGATATTGATTACAAATATTTTTTCACAAATATTTTCGTGCCTGCTTATGGAGGTTTTGTTTTGTTTTCAGTCGTGCAGAAAATTATTTTTAAAGTACTTAACTTTTTCCCTAGTGTTTTTGAATCAGTTAAGGCCTTCCCAGTTCCAAAGAACTAAAGATATTCTTTCACATTTTCTTCTGCTAATTTTATTTCATTTTTTTCCTTTTAAATACACTTTTCACTTTTGATTTGATATGCTGTTTTCAAACACTAAATTTCTATATATTTGTCAATTTCAGTCTTTACATTTTAAAGTAGCTCTTTAATAGTTCTACACTATTTTAATTATTCAAATGTTTAATGTTTTATATTTTTAAATAAGTTTCTAAATATTCCTTTAGTTTATGTTCCAATCTTTTTTGGAAAGTACAGTTTTAAAATCTCTCTTTTGAATTTCAATCAAAACCTTTGGGAAAGAAACATTCAGATTTTAAGTACCAAAATACTTTGAAAATATATATCTGGGGTTTAACAAATAGGAAGTTACAATAACACATTAAAGTACTAAGTCTTCCATCATGAAAACAAGAAAAGAGGGGGAGACCTTACCCAGAAACTGAGGTGGGTTTAACTGTGGCTGGGAATGGTGTAATGTTGTAGGTGTATTTTTCCCTCAACTCTGCCAATTGTGGGAAAGGGAATGGAGCCATAGAATAAACAGTCTGAAAAACAAAACCAAAAATGCCAAGTCTGAAACAGTGGCCTTAAACAACTCTTATCAATCCTGGAAAGACATTACAGTTTTATGATTTGGATGTGAAGAGGTAGATTCTGCTCCTTCCACAGCAGGTGGAGAGATTCTACTTCAATGCTTTTCACCTGCTTTAGAGAAAGACAAAAGAGTACTGATAAACACAATGCTGAGTTCTCAAATCAATCCAGCTGTGACTGGGCATTCCAAGCGGTGAACATGGGTGCCAGATGGAGCAATCTGACTCCCTCTGGGCCCAAGTGACAGATGGGTTAATTCAGAACTTCACAAGCTCCTATTACTTCTTTTTTTTCTTTTCATGAGGGCCCGAACTCACGACCCCGAGATCAAGACCCGAGCTGAGATCAAGAGTCCGATGCTTAACCAACTGAGCCACCCAGGTGCCCCCCATTACTTCTTTAACAAAGTACCCATCAATGATCTTCATATGCAGTGCTTATTTTTCAAAGCTTTGATGATTTTTATAGACATTTAATGTCAACTTTCTGGACAAAATTAAGTCTAGTGGATGACTTTGTGATCAGCTGCATGCTTTCTCCAAAGATACCTTTTCAAATGCCTGTGAATGAGTTCTAGGTGAAAATTGTTAGCTGTTATTTTTAAAGAAAAAAAAAGTGACAGGGTGTAAAGCATAGGCTGTTAAAAATCTATAAATAAAAATGGGAAAAGCACCTGTGCTTCCTCCAGAATTTCAAAATTATATATCACTCTATCAGCAAGAGGAAAGTAATCCTATTTGCTCTCTTAATTTCATTAAAATTTAATTGCTCCAAACATATTTCTTCAATCCTTCAGGTACTTATTCACCAGAAAATGTATATTAATCACAGTTTCATTTCTCCCAGGAAGCCATTAATCTAAAACTAACAATGTTATATGTCAACTATACCTCAATAATTTAAAAAAAGAAACCCATACCATTTGGATTCAAATTTAAAACATGAAATTATCAATGCTAGGAATTTCAAAATTCCTTATAGATGAAATAAGATGTCTCACTGAAGACAGTAGGGTAACCAGCTAAAGATTCACTTGCGTTTTATTTTTGCCAGTTTTATAAAAAGTTAAGAAAATATTCCTTTGTCCAGCCTCATGAAGGAAGCTGACAAGAAAGGAATGAGAAGTCCATCCTGCCCCTACTTCATCCCATGCTGACCCAGGGTAACTAGCCCAGGTTCCTAGGAAGCTCCTTCAAGTTTCAGACACCTGACCAAAAAGAAAACTGCCCCCACCGGTGCTTTCATTCTCTATTTTTGGTCTTTTTTCCTCTATCCTTTACTTTCAGTTAGTCCTTCAGAGAAGAAATCAGTGCTCCTGAAACGAATGTGTTTATAGTACTTCTTCACATATATTCACTCACTTATTTGAAGGTCCCACATCTGAAGGCAAGTTTATGCCAAGAATGTACACCACACATCACCACAGTCCTCAGAGTACCTGAGAAGCTTTAGGTTCCCAACTTCATAAATCAGAGATTTACAAGAGATTCCAAGGAAGATATGTTACGAATCACCTTAGAGCCAAATATGGTACATTAATAGAATCTTAGGGCTAGAAAGGAATGTAAACATAATTTAGTTCAACCTTCTTCTGCAGCAGAAATTCCCTCTAGAGCATCTCCAACAGATGGTCACAAAGGCACCACTTAAACACTTCCAGTTACAGGCACACATTATTTTGCAGAGCAGACGGTTACAATTTTTGACAGCACTAATTAATCAAACATGATCCTTCTATTGGACAAGGATCCACATCCTTGTAATTTCCACACCATCACTGATGGAAAAAAAGTGAACAGTCCAGGGGTGCCTGGGTGGCTCAGTTGGTTGAGTGTCCGACTCTTGGTTTCAGCTCAGGTCATGATCTCAGGGTCCTGGGATCAAGCCCTCTGTCAGAGGGAGTTTGTTTGGAACTCTCTTTCTCCCTCGCTTTCTGCCCCTCCCCCCACCTCTCCCTCACGGGTGTGCTTTCTCGCTTTCTCTCTCTCAAATAAATACATCTTTAAAAAAAGGAAAAAAAGTGAACAGTCCAAGGGCAGATCCTACATCATGGCACCGGAGCACTCCCCTCCCCCACCAGGTAACAATCATTACTGACAAGCACTTTGGCATAGGTTTTCCCAAGCACCTACAGACCTGTCTAACAACAGCACCTAATTTTTCTCTCTGTTGCCCTCAAGGAAGTCATGAGAGACTTTATCAAACGTCTTAGTGAAATCCATATACACTATTTCACCAGCATCCTCCCAATCTCTTTTCCAGACACTATCAATTTTTAAAAACCAGCCATTGCTAATAAAAAAAAAAGAGCGATGTGATGTACAGAAGGAAAAAAACCCAGCAGATTATTTTGTGTGTGGCACTGAGAACTGAAAGAACTGGGGAAGACCACCAGGGAGACTCCTTCCACATCTTCAGGTCGAAAATAAAGACCTTACACGCAGTCCACATTTTTCATCTGGAGCCATTTCAGGTTTGCTGATGGATTTATGGCCCACCAGAATTGGATCCCAGCCACTGAATTCATTTTTTTAAAAGAGTGAATACAGGAAAGAGTGTGCCTTGAAATGACATTCACCATTTCTCTCCGTAACACCCTATGATGCCAAGGAAAAATAACAAGTCAATTTATGATCCCAACTACCAAGGTACATTTAAATAGACATTTATATTTAGATACTGCTGGAAAAAAATTCTATTTCTTTTTTCATGACCGACATGCATTAGAAAAAAATGAAAACATAAGTCGCACAAAATTAGGCTCAGTTCATCTCCACCCAGATGTTTTCCTCAGCAGAAGAAAAGCCACTAAAATGGCATCTAATCAATCAAACCACAGCCTGCATTTTTCCCTCTAGGATTCTCCTAAAGCAGGGGAATGAGGTCGTTCTCTTTTCTCCTAAGATCGGACATTTTTATAGAACAAAGATGGAGTAATGTCAACATATCTCTCCTTTGTTCTGGCAACTTTTAAATGAAATAAAATGTTGCTTTATTTTTCTAAAGGGGACTTCAGCCTTGAGAAAGACATGTTTTGAATAAGGTGGAAGCGGTATGCTGGGTGGTAGGGAAAAAGTAGCAGGGCAGGAGTGGAGGACTTGGCTCCCGGTCCTGGGTCCACTGCCAGACAACCTAAGGAACTGGCCACATGCTCACTCTCTGTCAAGTGAGAGAATCAGGTTAGTTGATCTTTAAGCTTTTATTTTTCTTTAAAGATTTTATTTATTTGAGAGAGAGAGAGCAAGAGCCAGGGGAGGGGCAGAGGGAGAAGCAGGCTCCCCACTGAGCAGGGAGCCCACCACGATGCGGGGCTCCATCCCAGGACCTTGAGATCATGACCTGAGCCAAAGACAGATGCTTAACTGACTGAGCCACCCAGGCGCCCCTTTCAGCCTCTTTTAAACCACTGTTTCCGGGTGCCTGGGTGGCTCAGTCGGTTAAGGGTCTGCCTTCGGCTCAGGTCATGATCCCAGGGTCCTGGGATGGAGTCCCACATCCTGCTCCCTCCTCAGCAGGGAGTCTGCTTCTCCCTCTAACCCTCCCCCCTGCTCGTGATCTCTCTCTCTTTCTCAAATAAATAAAATCTTTTTAAAAATTTAAAAATAAAAAAAAAAAAAATAAACCACTGTTTCCCTAAGTGTTGTTTAAAAACCACGTGCATCAGAATCACCCATGGGCTAAATGTCTGCATTCTAACATACTCCTGAGAGGTTTCTCATACACAGTCAAGTTTGAGAACCACTGCCTCGAGTTCCAGTGTTCTACGAGTCTGTGTATTCACTAAGCAACCAGGTATATTCTCAACGGTACTCTAGGTGTTATGAGGATACAGAGTAAAATGAGGCCCCTATCATTAAGGAATTTACCACTTCATTGGAGAAATAAGATTAACATATTTTTTAAAATACCAACAAATGTAAAATCATCTCTAATTAGCATCGAATCAGTTGAAACTCTTACGTGCTGAAGGAACACCGAGGTGGCCTCGTTGGTGAGGGCTGAGAGGAGAGAGGCTGGGTGGGGGTGTGGGTGGGGGAGAGAAGGGACTGAGCGGGGCCCAGGTGGGCATATAGCTTTGCACAGAGAGTGTCAGAGGGACCCAAAAGCCCAGGCACGAGCAGAGAGGGCCGGGTGGGAAGACAGCTCTGACCGGTGCAGAGGTTCCGGCCGCGAAGTAGTGGGAACACCTTGCACAGGTAAGGCACAGGGCAGCCAGAATGGAGTCTTCCTCCCCCCACACCCTTCTGCTCGCCTTCCTAAGCCAGAGACCCAAAGGCAGCCTGTCGGTTGCCTTTGTCTCCCCATTTCTTTCTCCCTCACCCCGTATCCATTTTCCATGGCCAAGTCCTATCAACTTCGCCATCTAAGTATCATCTCTGTTCCATCCTTGTTTCTACCCGTCCCTGCCTCTCACGGGCTCCTGCTGTCAGACTTGACCCCTTCAAGTTCACCCTTCACAGAGCTGCCCCTGCCTGCATCTGACAGAAGCCACAATTCGGACCACTTTCCTTCTCTCCTTAGGACCTTTCAGGTCTTCCTTTTTCCCTTTCCAAAGGCTCCACAGAATCCCTAGAATTCCAGCAAGCACGATTTCACAACCACTGACCTAAAAGGTCAAGTCTAATCCTTACCACGGGTTGTGGTCTTCCATACACACCCCAAATACCAAACTCCTTGTAGTTTCCTTCACACACCGCAAAGTTTTCCACTGGCTAAGCCTTTGCTCATGCCACTCCCTCAACCATGAATCCTCTTCCTGCTCTGCACCACTGCCTCACACACACACACACACACACACACACACACACACACACACAC